AGAATAATATATGATGCAAAAACCCAGTTGACAGGGTAACCAAACTTGCATATGCATAAACCACAAACCAGATGCCGCCAATATGCTGATGAGTAAGCTGAGGTCTGGTAACTATGAAGTCTCATGCCAGACTGGCATGGCTGCCTAACTCTGGGGGCTGGAACTAGCAGTCTGGGGAACAGATAGACTGACTAGTAAGAGTTGGAAGCGCAGATTAAATCTGGCAAGAGGGCTTATCCACCCATAAAGGTGCTCTCCAATTAGAGATTGAGCAGAATATCACCCTGAAGATAGAGATTAAAGAATCTATCGTTGTATCACTACACTGACCCTATAGTAAAGATCAATAAGCGCACCAATGTCTACTTGCAGACCTGTATTCTCCACACCAAAAGACCTGTCAGGCTGTAACTGTATCCTAAACCCAATTGATAGCAAAGATTGTCCTCATACAATCATATCAACACCCACTATAATTAATAATAAAGATCTCAAACCACAAAACTTACAGCAAGTGACTGGATTGTGTGTGCTATGAATTTGAGTTCCATGTATTTGCTATCTCATTTTTTGGAATTCAATATTTGATTTTATTTTTATTGTGTGATTGACTGTTTTTGTTTTCTGGCCCTAGATAAATGAAAGCTTTATTGAGTGAATTGACCTTCAACTGGTTCCAGTTGAAATTGGTTTTGTGACTGAACCTATGCGTTCTAAACTGACTAATATATGTTTACAGGGGCCGCAGGAGAAAAAGTGAATTAATAAACAAAAAATATTTATGTGTTTTAGGCTGGTGTACTACACGTGTAATAAAAATTAACTATAAAATGAGAATATATATAAATAAATAAAATGTATATTCAAGTATAAATAAAAACTAAACAAATAAGTGTAGTATCACTATAAGATAGTACAGCAAACAATATTAAAATTAGTATGATTTTAACCCTTCAAAATGTAGAGCTGACTCACTAAATCACTATTGGACACAAAACGGCTATAACTGAGATCCAGATTAGTTTTTAGGTGCATTAAAAGAAATTAGATAATCAAACGAGTCCGAGCCTTGATTATGACGGGAACCCGATCCACACTAACTATATATCTCACATCTAGAGCAGCTAGACACATGTTGGTACCATTTTGATCATAATCATCTGAAAAATTGATCTACGTCCCTAGATTTCATAAAAATCAATATTGAATCATAATTTTATCATAGTATTTACTCCACTGATGTTCTTTTGGGATGAAGCTGTGGCAAGCAAGGTACCTGAAACAATATGGACTACTTGGATCAGGTGGCACCGAATTGAATGGTCTACTATCTCACTGAAGAATAAAATTCGAAATGTCCAACCAACCATCTCCTTGTTTAAACTAATATTTATATTTATAATTTAAACCGTATCACATAAATTGACCAAGCCTCTAGTCATCAATCAATCCTCACACAGAGCATAATCACCAATCATATAAAACAACAAAACAATTCGCTTCCCCATTTTAATCCACCCATTCTAGAGTCGGGTAACTAGAAAGATAAGCCACTTTGATATGGTTGAATAGGGTTAGCTACTAATTTAAAATGCAAGTAATCAAATAAAAATATATTAAAGTTTGAGTGGCTTATATTTCAGTCAACCTGATTTAGACCACAATCCACTGAATTCATTCTGTGTACTTTCAAAGATGCATGTAAGGGATTGAATGTAAGGATGAGCCAAATCGAGCTTTTGGCTTAACGATCAACTTTAAAATAAATTTAAGTAAAAATCAATTCAGTCGAATCCCTTACGGCTTGAGCCCACTCGAGGCGACAGTACAGACAGACAGACTCACTTTTATATATATTAATCTCAACAGGTTTGAAAACTACTGTACTACTTTGAAGTATTTACAAATATATAACTACAGGTAGGCCAGACCAAATAGGCTACTCATTGAGAGTATATAGACTGATCCAAGGGCCCATGCTCTTGGCTATTTCAAAAAGAGTGCATAAACCATAAATCCTGCACAAGTTATATTCCTACAAAAAAGTTAAATTTATCATATAAAGTAAAATATTTTTTAATATTGGGACCATCAATGAAATAGAACATCCTCTCAGCATAAAAGATAGGGAAACTAAAATAGCTATTAAATAACATATTGACTATTCTGTGTCACTGTACTTAAAAAATCCTAACTCTAGGGGATGAAAATAGTAGCCTTGATGATGAATAGACTACTAGTAAGAGTCAAAAGTACTCTATTTTATCATTGAAATAGGTTTGATACTTTATAAAAGAACTTTAAACTAAGTTTAAAAGACATAAAATGCTCCTTCTGAATAATGAGATCCCTCAGTTAACTGTTTTTATTGCTGTAAGAATCTTTTTATATTACACTTCTAACCAGTGCTAGATCTCTATTATCAGCTCTCATGAAACTCCTTGTGAACACCCTTCAGATAAGAGCCCCTTATTATCTCAACTTAAAGGCTTACTTGATTATTTTTATCAAACCTGCAGGGTAAACCTCCTAGCAGGGTATACCATAAAAAACAAAGTTGACTAATAATCTATATTTTATACAGAAGTTTTGTCATAGCTTTTCTGTTTTAGCATATTTGCAGAAAGGGGTAAATAATATTGAAAAATATAATATATTTATTTTAATAATATGTTGAGTATATACTTTTTGGGAATATAGAATGAGATAATGAGGATTAAATAAGAGAATGATATTTTATTAGATATAAAAGAAGTATGGTATATGGTATAATGACAAGCCACATGGTGTTCATTTACTTCATGACAGTTGTGTGGCTTGTTTAAGTATTGTTCCTTGCAGGATTTGAAATATTTGACTCTCATACAATGCTGGAGTGTGGCAATAGTGCCACCTACTATTTGGAAGTTGATCTATTTCTTGGGAGAAATGTTTTCCTGAGAGGGATTAATCAAAGATGTTACAACAATTAAAAGATTATATAATGTTTTATATATCATTAAGGGGTAGATAAATATGACAACTATATGATTTAATATTCCTGTTAAATGTCTAGTAATATATATGGAAATATCTGGCTGTAATGTCTCAGCTGGTGATATCAGTTTGTCATATCATGGCTTAGAGTCTTGGACAGATCAAGATGAGTCACAGATCTTCTTTTCTGACTTGGAATTTTGCTATGAGGCTTTTCTTGAATTTTTGATATAACACTTAATCAACATGATTAAGAAGAACACATTTAATAAAAACAAATCTAGAAAGATCTAAAATCTTGATATATATCATTATAACATTGGCTACACCATTTTTTGTTTTGAATGAATAAGATAAAGTGCCTTGTTTAAATTTCAATCATATTATGTTTAAATAAAAGCATGTAACAGAAAATAAAGCTGTAATAAAAGAAGCAACTGCTGAAAATATTTCAACAGGTCTTCTGTCCTTTCATGCAACATCAAATTAAAACATTTGTTTTTGCATCTTTGAGCTATTAAGTATGACATTTTTATGATTAAAAATGGTTTTATGAAAGTTCTTGGTTATTAAGAAAGTGAAAATCCAGGTCTTTTTAGAGCCCAAAGTTCACTTCTGATTATGAATTTATTTGTACTTATCATTGATGATTTCACCCAGCATTTTTATTTACATCAGTCTGTGTTTGGGATTAAATATATCAGCTCCTTGGATATTTATGAAGGTTTAAGGGCTATGAGAAAAGGTTGGTCTATTACTGCAATCTTTTATAATGTATAATATTCAATTCAACATAATAATAAGCATATATTTTTGAAGTAAGTTAGTATTGGCTTATGCCAAACTTGACATATTTTCTTGGCCAATGTTCTTAATGTACCCCTGGATAAACCACATCCATCTGTTTGGCTCATGGGAGGCCTGATTGAATAAAATCAATTCCTGGGGAGAGGTTGTGAGGCTTACAGAGACAAAACCAAGGCAAATAGAGCTGATAGCTTCATTGGTATTACTGGTTATAATTAATTATCTTTATAGCTTAGAAATGTATCACAGCAAAAGAATTCATACATATGAAACAATAAGTTATTTAATTAAGACATTCTCCTTTGGAAATATAAATGCATCAGTTTCTTTGTTTTAGCTACTGCAGTAAGATATCCTCTTCAGGGATTGTTTAATCTGCTGAGCCACATTCATCAGCTCAGTTTAGAAATTGCACAAAACAACTACCTAAATCTCACCCATGAGCCAATAAGCCAGTCTTAGCTTCTTGAATCACAACCATCTGTCTATTGCATGTAGAAATGAGACAGGTACCAAAATTGTCACAATTTGTATTGTGACCAACCATGATCATATTATCTCATACAAGCTATTGTTTTTGGTTGAAAGTATATTTTTATAAATTTTAATAATAATGGATTTCACTATAATTATCTAAAACAAACTGTGGTTCAGTAAAAACAATCATTGTGAGATAATGACAAATAAAGCTGTAATGAAATTTTAGTTAAAAATAAAATCCAACAGCTGAAACTGCAATAAAGTTACATCCTATGCCTTACACAAGATGAAATAATTTGTTTCATCTTCAAAACCTACCTTTCTTTTATATATTTTTTGATCAACACAATGGAGGTAGGCACATATTGTGACCTAGCCTAAAAGATGTAGCACAAATCCACCCATATTGTTTTGTGACCTAATCTAAACCCTTCTTAAAAATTTTTATGTGACTCTGTGATCACACAATTGCTGTGACCATCCCAACCCTAACCATATGAAGCAATGTATTGAAAATAAACCCTGTCTGGTACCAAACCATCAAGATTTATAATAACACACCCAGGCATTCTATTTACAAAAAGTGTTCACATTATACAAGCTTTCTGATACAGATCCAGGCTACAACAGAGATACATGTTTAAAAGTGGCCAATGGTCCGCCCATCCACAATCCTTTGCCACAGTGAAACCAAAAAAATACTTCAGGTGTGCGAATTTTTTTATTAAAAAAGGAGTTGCCTACACCAGGGATCGAACCTGGGATCTTCGCTTTACGAGAGCGACGCCCTACCACTGGGCCATGCAGGCAAGACGGCAATCACTTATTGGTTGGAAAAATTTATTGCAAAACCTGATATAAAATACTACACTTAAATATTTTAGGAACTGCATCTAGTTACTGCTATTTATTTTCTTTGATGTAGAAGTATTAAGTTTATTAATTCTATTAAAATGATAACAATAACTAAACACAAGTGTTTTTGGTTTGTTTAGAATTGATGAAACACATATGGATCCCCAAAGTAAGATTTCAGAAATTAAATCCAAGCTTCATCTACACAAGTTACTGGCCTTATCTGGAAGTGAATTATAATTTTTCAAGTTTTTTATATATAATATAATCTTTTTCTCTATTCATTCCAATTAAACATAGATTATGATTTCAAATTAAATAATAACCCTTTCTGAGGCATTTTTATACAGAAAAACAGTAGCCCAAACTCATTCTATCCTATTGATTTCCAAGCTTAAATTCTATAAAACTGATCAGGCTTCTTAGTTAATAAGAATACTGTGATAGTCCACATTGAGAGCTGTGCTGTAGTCAATATCTAGGATTTGATAAATAAATATTGGTTGCCCAAAAAAGATAAATAACTCCTGTTTTATTGATTTGTCTAGCCTTGATAATTGGTGTTGATTTGTTATATCTTATGAGCTTTAGTAAGGTGGCCCTTTTTTAGTGCTTTGCTATGATAGAAAATTTCCCTGAGATAAATATGCTTAGGTGCTATTAAAATCTTTATATCATCTGGAGTGATAATACAACTGGGTTATTTTGTCCAGAATGGAAAGTGTTTCTCTGCCTATGGTTTTTGAGTAGCTTTAAGAAAGTTGCCAGGAATGACAATTTGGATGCTCCTAAATCTCAAAATACAGAACCAGAGTCAAACTCTGGACAAAACCCTTTGCAGACTGCCAGACGTCATAGTTGTTGCCAGCTCACCAGGACCTGAACCCTTATCTGTCCTGCAGGATTCTGCAAGCAAACTACCAGTGCAAGATGCCAGGAATTTCACTGAGGTGCTAATACCTGACACCAGCAGTTTGCTCAGTAAAATACACAAGTTTCTCAATGAGAGTTATTCCAAACTCTCCCAAAGCCCCAGAGGAGACAAAACCTGAAGAGGCACCCAATACCCAAATTGACAAACAGAAGGATTCAAAGTCTTCTCATCCCAAAGCAGCTAGTGGCAAACCACCAGTGCCGAGCACTACACTGCCATCTAAGACCCCTGATGCCAACCTGCACAAGCCCAGAAAACCCAACCAGGAAGTGAAGCCTAGACAGTGTGGTATAAATACCTGCCAGGCTGAGATCAATCCCCATTATCATTTTTAAATAAAGATTATGAGATATTGGTTTCCCCAATTATTGTCAGTATTTTATTTTTATCATCTGCCAGTTAACTCAAAGATCATCCGACCCTTCTCCACCTGCCATCTACATACTGCCTGCCAGGTGCTCTCTTTGGTCCTGTTTATTTCACAAAGTACCTCTTAAAGCCTGAGTACAAGGACTATACCACCAACAACATACTAGCCCAGGATCCCTTGGCCAGAACTACATAGTTAACCAGATACAACCAAGAAGGCCCTTGGTACATCACCAAATCCTGCCTGTTCAGAGATAAATACAACTTCCTTCCTGCCTAACAAATAGACATGGAACCTCCCATCACCCCCAAACCAATGCCTGCCTCCGCCGCTGAGCTCTCACTGGACCAAACCAACAAGCTTTTTGGAATTGTATATATTACTCTCATGGGAGTAATAGATACTATTGTCCCTGCCGCCAGTCTGTGATTATGAGTGGGTAAGTCAATGTCCTATCTCATTAAGTTAGCGCCAATCCTTTGGTGGGCCCTGCTCACCCAGTCTGCAACCCACCAGTTCTCAAACACTAGCGAGCCAGCAGATCAGGGATGGTTTCCTGACAGAAGTCTTAAAGTTGCCGGGCAAGTATAGATAGCTCAGAACAATTATTTAGGGCCTTTCTGAGAACTGCTGCTAAACTTAATGATTTGAAGATATTCAGGAATCAAAGTTGGTTAATTTGTACCTAAAAGCTCAAACTAATCACTTGAATGAGTAGAAACAGGGGTGATACATGAAAAAATGCTTGCTTCTGAAAACCTAAGTAAAAAAACACTGATAGAGGCTCAGAAATATACTTGATATATATGCTAAGCCATCACTACAGGTTTGAAAAGATTTAAAAAGATGCTGAGAAAGGTGTTCAGGGGTTTCCTAAGAACAGATTGTTAGATGTAAAGGACAAACCCCAACATGCTTATTGAAAACCCAACACAGCCCCCCGGCCGGGCCCGAACCCCCCCCCCCGGCCGGGCCCCGCCCACCGCCCCCCCCCCCCACCAAGGAAACAAACCGCCCCCCCCACCCACCCCACCCCCACCCCCCCCCCCCCCCCCCCCCCCCCCCGCCCCCCCCCCCCCCCCCCCCAACAAAAATCCCCAAGAAAGGAAGACAAGAACCACCCCCAAAAATCCCCCGCCCCCCCCCCCCCCCCCCCCAAACCAAACCCCCGTGGAGCCCCCCCCAGAGTTGCAGCCGACAAAGTCCAATACAAAGCCCCCGCCCCCCCCCCCGCCGCCCCTCTCCCCCCCTACCGACATTAGAGGAGCAAAAAGCCAATTGGTTCAGGAAAACTGATGACTAGGGTTCAAATTTCAGGAGGAATGAAATGCAAAAAAGTGAAAAAAATTGGGAAAGCAAAGCAACTAGTAGTTTTCTAAGGAAAACAGATGGGTTTAAATGTAGTGAAATGATGGAGCAAACAGAGAAATTATTTGGGATGCCAGAGGTAAAACATTGGTGGTGCACTTGGTGAAACAGTTGTTTTCTATTCAAGTTTTGGCAAAACTGTGAAGCAAAAAATGCTTCAGATGTTTGAAGATGATGAATGTTGATGAGATTGGTTGAGTTTAAGACTTAAATCACTAGCTATTATTTATTAGTGAAATGACCTAAAGCTTGATTAATATGCTCAGAAACAACAACCATCAGCATTTAAACTGTCTACATGTAACATCCTTCATGTCAACAATTCCCAAAAAATATTTTTGTATTTTCATTGTATTTTTATTGGGTTTTTACCTTAAATAATTGTTCTTAATGTTAAAAGTTAAAGTTTATTTTGATTTTCAAGGTTTAAGCAAAGTTGTAAAAAAATAAAGCCAAAATAAAATTTGGGATTGTCAACATGGAGGAAGTTACATGTAGACAGTTTAAATTCTGACAGTTGCCAACAAAAAGTGTGACTCTGTATTCAAGCTGGCCCCATGCTGAAAATTAAGCTCACTATCTGCTTACTATCCCCATGTTTTTTAGCCCTAAAAGTTCAAGGTGCCCCACAATCTTTACACAATTAGACTGTTTACTCCTTCTTTTGATGTGACCTCCATCCTTCTTTAGCTCTACTTTAACCCGAGACATAGTGACAATCAGCACCCTAACTCTCTCTCATCCCTGATCCCAACCTCTTATCAAGGTTGAGCCACAATAGTTCTAGCCTAAAAGTCATATCTACTTTCCCAATAAAACCAAGCTCTCTCTTATTTTTTTCTTGCCTCTCCTCAAAAGGTTGCCTCATTACCAGTTTACTAAAGTTTATAAGACATTGGTATATAATTTATTAAATATTTATACTACAAATTATGATATAAACTCTTTGATATTAAGCTATCCATATATCACAGTATGTCATCCACAAGGAAGCATTCGATATATTATCAGAGTTCATCATAAAGTTTTTAAAATATTCATAGCAAACCTTATTACTACTTTAATGACTCATGAATAAATTAGCATTATTACGATTTGTGGCTATCAGCAAGTTAGCGTGCCAGTTAAAAATCCAAGTGTATAAGGCTGCTCAGATAAATATTTGTGGGCAGACAGTTTTTGATCCAGATGAATCCCAATTGAGACTTTTTATAATCGAGCTTGATAATCTGGTGTGATTGGCTAGGATGGTAGGTACGTGGCCAAGCCAAACTTGCGGATTGGCAATGCTTGGCACTTGCTAAGCTCCAAGGTTCGTCACAGATTTTAAGAACCAGAACTTCCTGCCTAAAACACATTTTAAGTTCCAACCTATTACTTACCTACCATGGAGTTGTGGGAGAAGCGAGCGCTCAACTTGAAAGTCCTTAAGCGCCATGATATGACCATCGATAGCATCCTTGATCAATCCAGCCATGTGGTGATATATAACTTCGATGTCGAATCACAGCAATGGGTAACCCTTTCTTTCGTGCTACTGAAGTTTTAGAATTTTATACATCATTTTTTCAAGAGCTATTTACAGCTTATTTAAAGCTGTTTCATTTTATCAACCTCGAACAGTTTGGTATCTTCAGCATTTTACATGAATTGATGCTATTCATAGTCAGCTTAGATTAAAATAACAACTCAGTTTAAAGTCATGTGTCGTTTTTTTAAATCTGCTAGCTGCTTATGATTTTTAAGACCCTTTTACAATTTTCTTGGTGACCCGGTTTAAAAGCCAGATTAGATGCTGTTTCTTTTGTTGAGGGTTATATGGATTATTATTGGATCCAGCTAGTTGTATTGGGATTTTCCCTAGCTACGGAATTAAGTCTGCTTAGTTATATATATATCTAGCCTATCAAATGCCTCCAGTCATTGGCTCGTGATAGCTTTTAAATGACCACGCTGTATTCTGAACCTTTCCAACAAAATGATGCTCGTTTAGTTTTAATGTGAATATTAAGTGGCTCATCATTATTTCTTGCTATTCGATGGTCTATTATCTAATTCTATTAGAAAAACGCAGGGTATGAGGGATCAATGTTCATATTTAAGCGGTAAAGTGCAAAAATAAACCATCCTTAGTGGAATTAGGACTGTAGCTCCGTTCTACGGAGTTCTTGTTCTAAACCGACGCTCGATAGATAACTTTATCTTTCTATTGACGCCAGATTTGGAAATTCATGTTGATGCTGAGTTTATCATCTATCGTCGTCCTAAAGGTAAAACATGAC